TCTAAATAAATTATGTCTTGAATTTTGAATAGGTGGATATCCTCAAAATGATCCACAACGACCATATCAACAATTTGGTCTGTAGTTTGTAATCATTTGATTTAATAGGTTTTTTCATCTCATAGGTGGTGGCAACAATATAAATTTTCATAATAATCGTCTTCGAGCAATAGCTGAAAAATATGAAATAAATGATGCATTATTACAACGTCTAAATATACTTCAACAATTTGACATCGTTGTACTTTGTGATGATTCTAGTTCAATGAAGACACCTGTTGATGGAACAACTGGTACTCGTTGGGATGAATTACGAGCTATCGTACAAATTATTATTGATATTGGTACAATATTTGATTCGAATGGTGTTGATGTACATTTTCTTAATCGACCTCCTATGCTTAATGTTACTGATCCTCGACAAGTTATTGAATCATTTAGTCAACGTCCTCAAGGATTAACACCTCTTACTCCTGCATTACGACGAATTTTTCAATCAGGAGCAAGTAGACATAGTAGTAACAAACGTTTACTAGTTTTTGTAGCTACAGATGGAGCACCAACTGATAATTATGGTAATGTCGATATACAAAGTTTAGAAAATTTAATGCGACATGAACGTCAATCAAATACTATGTATGTAACATTTCTTGCTTGTACTGATGATGAAGCAAGTGTAGATTATTTATCTAAATGGGATCGTTCAATGATAAATGTTGATGTTGTTGATGATTATAAATCAGAACGAGAAGAAGTACGTCGAATTAAAGGATTCAATTATCCATTTTCATTTGGTGATTATGTTGTTAAAGCATTAATTGGTGCTGTTGATCCACAAATGGATGCTCTTGATGAACATCCAAATAGTAATAAACATTGGTAGATTTTTATTAATAATTCTAATTTCAAAAAATTAACTTAAGTCTAACATTTATGCGAGAAATATAAATTGACATTATAATCTTTGCCTATTTTATTTCCATTCAACTATTGTTTTTCCTAAGAAATAATTAATCTCAATAAAATAACAATAATAAATGCAACTAAAAGCTGTTATGTTACTATGTACGCTAAAATGTAATGAACATGGGTGTTCTTTAAATAACTTTTGATAGGAACAACACAGAGATCAGGGATTTTCACCATTCAAGAGACAACACTTCGAGGTCATCAAAATCTGATTGCAAGGATATTTCCGGTATTTTCAATTTCAGAAATTTAATCTTGTAAGACTCAAAAAGAAATCCACACATGAGTTATTCATCATGCTTAATCGAATAATGATGTTTGTTTCCAGTTTCAAATCTACCTGGGACCACTATATGAAGATTTTCAAAACTTTGATTTTTATGTTGTATAGGAGAAATTTTTGAATTTTAAAAATACTGAAAGAGTGATCTCAGGTCGATTTAAAATTGAAAATAAACATCGCTATTCGATTCAGCATGATGAATAACCCATGTCTAGATCTCTTTTGGAGTCCTTCAACGTCAAATTATTGAAATCCGGTGCCCTAAGAAAACAGCTACGAATTTAGAGTTGGCAGAAATCGAAAGAGAAGCTTTTTTCCTACGGATTGGTCATGCTACAAGCCAAAACTCAATGAAGAACAACTTCAAAATGCCGTTTTCAAAATCTTCGCCAAAAACTAAAAGGATCCAGATATGTTTGCGTTGATCTGTAGATTTAAATATAAAATATTAGAGAAAAAGTCGATATTTTAAGGAAATTGTCATGTATTTAATGCATACACAGAAAAGTTTTTCAATAGAAAGACTTTTTATTGACTAATAATCTGAACAAAAGTATGACTATTAGAGATGAGCGTAGAGCAACTTTTTGTTGAATTTACATATATTTTCTCAGAAAATATTGAGTGTAAGTTTTAAGTTGAAGTCCTGCGGCTCTCTCCATTACAGACCTTAGGAACTCCTTCCCCAAAGACAGACAGCAAAATTTTTGTTCGAAATGTAGAAGTAAAAAAAGACAGCTTTTGCTGACAATTAATTGTCGTTGAAAAAGAACTATTATATTTTCGAGATTTTACACTTTGTATATTTGGTATCCAGTATAATGAACCTAACAAAGACATGTGAGTTCACATTTTAGCCTCGAAGGGAAGCTACGCTAACCAAGGGGAAAAGTGCAAGTTCATGTCCCCAGCATCTTTTGGTACTGAAAGTTAGTTGTGGTAGGAGTGTACAGTTCACACTCGAGACAGCTGTTTTTCACGTATTGTAAGGACAAAACATACCAGTGTTCAGGTCAAATGAAAGAAAACCCTGGATAACCTCAGGAGTGGTCCGAACAAGCTTATGTTTTGCCCTTACTATAGAGGGAAAGATCTTGCTGAAATTTGATTGGTCGATATGAAAAAGCTATCAACCAATCAGATTTCAGCAGGGTTTTTTTCCTCTATAGTATGAATCAAATCTTTCATTTGATCCGAACATCAGTATGTTTTGTCCTTACAATAGCTGAGAAACAGTTGTTTCGAGTGTGAGCTGTACACCTCTACCACTACTAACTTTTAGTACCAAAAGATGCTGAGATGGTGTTGAAGTACTGAGAGTTCTGCACCTATACTTTCCTCCTTGTGAGTACCTCAGCACTTTTGAAAATAATTTGGTGCATGGTGCCCTGGACTTTCCCCAAGGGGGAAACACCGTACTTTGTACTTTAAAGTATTTTAAGGTACTTTAAAGTACTTTGAAGTACTTTAAGGTACTTTAAAGTACTTTGAAGTACTTTAAGGTACTTTAAAGTACTTTGAAGTACTTTGAAGTACTTTGAAGTACTTTGAAGTACTTTAGTGTACTTTAAACTACTTTGAAGTACTTTAATGTACTTTAAAGTACTTTGAAGTACTTCAATGTACTTTAAACTACTTTAATGTACTTATATAGTTCAAGGCATATTTAGCGACACTCTCTATAACTCTTTAAGAGTTGTCTAGGGTACTCTCCACATTTGCCCAAGCGCTGTCTAGGGACAGTCTCTATGACGCTTCAAGACGTATCCAGGGGTAGTGTTCATATTTCTTCAAGGGCTAT